TTTTTCAGTCCCATCGGTTACCAAGCATGTGTTCTGTGCCGTCAGGCCACCTAAGTTCCCATGCTGGGTCTATTTATGTCTGTGCTGTGTGACCTGGAACCAATTACATGTCTCTTTGCCTCGGTTTCCCCATCTGTAAAGTGAGATAGAGTAGTATTTCTGCCATGTGTTATGACACGTTCGTGGAATGAGACAATCATTACAAAGCCTTCAGAACAAGGCCTGGGAGATAAACGCTGTCTATAAACATTAGCTGCTGTTTATCTTTTGCTGCCATTCTTCCTTCATCCCTAAAGCCTTTTTCTTTTGGGTTTATTTGCTTTGGGGCCTCACTTCCCACACAGGTGGATCCTGTGGACTAGCAGCCTGTGATTCTGATTCGTTCCAATTTGTTTCCCTGCTTTGCATACTTTATAATTTTAGTGTTCTTTTTCTGCCCATTTAAAATCATCATATTAGGGCTTTGGCATGTTTGTTTAATGCCATGGACTTGCTTAAAATTCATGATCACAGTTAACCTTTTGTGCAGCCCCCGTGAGGCAGCTCAGTGTAGTTTCTGATGCTTGTCTGTGGTTTTCCTGGGCTTGGTCGTCCCCATAACTGGTACTAAGGGGGAACATAGGGGAGGTGACTCCCTGTGGCTCTCAATCTCTGTGAGAGGAAGCAAAACTGGACTTATTCTTGGACCTTGGAATAGGTCTTGGGTCCTGGTGATGGGATCTAAGGACTAAACTTTGTTCTGGTGTGCTTCCTAATTCTCTTAATAAAGAAATTGACTCCTTTGTTGGAGTGTGGGGGACTTCATTGATATAGATAAGGTTTTTGTTTGTTTATTCCTTGGTTTAACATGGGAGAAGATTGGCATTTCTCGCTAGTGGGTCAGGAGACAGGCTTGTGAGGTTGAGAAGGGCTCCGAGGATGGGTGTCCTTCAGTGGCTGGAACTGCTGAGTGTGGGGACTTCGTTCCCAGAAGCATCATGCCATGCACGACTTGTTTCTCGGGGTCCTTGCTCATTCTCCATGCGCGTACCCTGTGATCCCGTGGGAGAGTCCTGCTTGAACACGCGCACATGGGACTTCCTGTCTTGCATTTCCGGTGTGAGTAGATGAGGACGTTACTTTATCTCTGTGCCTCTCGTGCTAAAACAACGAGAAGGCCTCTGGCTCACTTCTGTATGTCCGCAGAGGCCCGTCATCCGAGAGCCAGTCTCGCTGCAGTCATGATTTTGGTTTAGCTGCTGGTAAAAGTGTTGCGTGACATGTTGGCCCAGGAACAGGAAGCGAGAGGGCAATAAAGGGATCGTAAACACTGACTCTCTGAAGTCAGTTTTAGGCACTTTGCCTTTGTTATGTGACTGGATATGCACGGCAGTCCCATGAAGTGAGTTTTACGTGACGCCTGTGTAGCTCGCAGAGAGGTGCGATGCCTTGTGAAAGTCTGCGCTAGTCAGTGGCGGCTTTGCCCGGGGCCTGCACGTCGCCAGTGCTTCTCGTAGCAGTGCTGCGTCAGAATCAAGGCAGCGCCGACAGCGACGGCCCCTTCTCTTTGGAGAGGACACAGTACGACCTCACACGCTGCCCTCAGTGTGGCCTCTAGGAGACCACTGTACCTCACCTGGCCCTAGGTGAGAGTCGAAGCAACATGAGAAAGGTTCAGAGAGGAAGAGAAGCCTCCACAAAGGAGAAGGCAGGGAAGAAGCCCTCGGGGCTTGCTCAGCACTGGCTGCGGGAGACGCAGCATGGGGTGGACTCGCCCCCCCAGGGGGGAAAGCTTCAGCACAAAGGGGGAGACTGTGTCAGAGACATCCAGCTGGATGTAGACAGCAATGCGATGCTGAGGCAGAGGGCGAGAGGGCCAGAGAAGGGGTGGATGCTCCAGTGTGGCCGGCGGCTGGCATTGTGCTCAGCTCGTAATGGTCATGCCCGAGCCAGACAGGCTCCTAGTCTGCACAACTAGAGAACAACAGGAAACACAGGGCGTTCAGAGGGGAGCCTGGGAGTTATGGAAATGAAGTCAGGGGACAATCCACAGAAGCTTTGGTCATTCACCCTGAGGAACGGATACTGATCTTCAGAGGATAAATGAGATGAGAGAGAACCTTATAGCTTATCTAGGAGGGGCTGGGATGGATAGACCCACTTCAGTGAGACAGAGGAAATGATAAAAAATTCCCTGAGCCTCTTTAGACCTGAAATCCATTGAGTTTCATGGTACCATGTGTGTGAAGCCAATTTGTAAGCTATAGAGCGGCAGGGGGAGATTTGGTAATTGAAGACCTTAAAAACTGAACTCCAGGACCGGCTCTTGGGATCTAAGTAAGTCACCTCTACCTTTTGTTTCAACATTCTTAAGATAATAATGATACCTGCCTTAACAGTCTTATAGACTTATTGGGAATCAGTTGATAGATAATATGTAAATATACCCTGTAAACTATAACGCATTTTATAAAATATACTTACTATTGCACCAGATATCTGGTGTTTTGTTTTTTTATAAGACACGCAAAGAATTACAACTTCTTTTAGCTTATGACGTATACTAGGATGAGTCCTAATAGCAGATTTTAGAACTACATTGTGGTTTCTGTTCTGGTACATTTGCTCTTAAAACTGAGGAGTAAGAGGAAATAAAGATGAAAGAAATATGCCTAGATATTTCCAAATGGAGCTTTTCAAAATGCCTTGGGTAGACATGGTTAATATCAGAATATTGGAATTGAATGTAGAAATATCAGTGTGTTAAAAAAAAGCTACTCTCTAGTTTAAGAATTATCTCTCACTATAGTAATATCTAATTAGTAATATTCATAATCACAGTCTTTTCTAAAATATTTCTGTAAGAATGTTGCTGTTAAAATTTATACCAGTAGCTTTACATATTCCTATCTGCCTTGAAAACAGAAATCAGTCCAGAAGGAGGGTTTATTTTTCTTTAGGTAGGTAAATATGATAAGATAGATGGTGCATTAAAAAATAAAGAGAAGGGCTCCTCCAAGCTGATTTACATATTGATTACTTAAATTACTACTTAATTTAGTGCCTGCTAATAAACTGTGCCTGGGAAATGTTTCCCAAACATTTATTGGCTGCAGTATTTCTACCTACAGTGTATGCAGATCACATCCTTGTTAAATATTGATGCGCTCATGAAATGTTAATAGAATGTTAATGTGAAATACAAGGGAATGTGATCGCTGGGAGCTGGGAGCCTCTGAAAACTACCTGTCTCCTGTCTTTTCTTTATGTTCTGCCTTCTCGCTTTGTGGGGATTTTTTTTGTGGTTTTTTTTTTTTTTTTACAGCTCATTTCCTCCTCATCAAGAGATCTACATTTGCTCTCTGATCTGGCTGTCTCAGATACAAAATTTTTAAAAGAGAAATAAGATTCAGTGATTGATGGGAATTTACTTGTCCTCCTGCTCTCTGGAAATGGGATTTATGGTTGGAACCAGAAAGGGTTCCTTTAAAATAGGAGAATGATTCAGGCTTAGAGTCGAATGAGACTCTGTCCTCTGTAGACTGCGTTGGGTGTGCTGTGTGGAGGCCAGCACACTTCCCTGCTCTCCTTGAGGGGCTTTGACCTTGATCCCTCTGCCTGTAATGTTCTTTCTCACTGACCTTGACATAGCAGGCTCCTTCTCAGGCTTTGATTCTCGACAGTCTGAGGCCCTTTCTTGAGCACCTGGTTATCTAAAGTTTCTTCTCAAGCCTTTCCTGTTACTTTTCGTCACTCAACTTGGGATGTCCTGTAACTACCTCTTTTGTTTTTATTTGTCTCCTTCAATTAGAATGAATGAATACTCAGGGCCCTTGTCTACCTTGTTCTCCATTTGATAAGGTCCAGCCGTCTTCATGGTCAATAATAGGTGCTCAATGAATATTGTTGATGAAGTGAATTAAAAAACACCCATCCCTGCCACCAAAGAATTCGTAGACAAGGGGGTAAACAGAGCAATAAGTCAGTGCACGGGATCATTGTGGATGCACCTGCGGGTCGAGCATTCAAAGTGGTATAGCTATGGAGGAGATACCAGCCAACTCTTACTGGGGAAGAGTTTTGGAGGCAGGTTTGGGCATGGATAAACTGCTTGTTTTGTGAGATAAACGGTCTCCTCAGGTAGGAATTGGAAGATTAGTAACTTTGGAGTTTTATTATTTTGTTTAATCTATGCATAGAATGGAACCCAGAGTTACAAGTGATAGGAGCCTCTTAAACTAGCTTAAGAAAAGAGGAGAATTGATTCTAGGGCAAAAGGATTTTCAGAGGAAGGACTGAGCAAACCAACCATAGATACAGGGAAATAGCTGTGCTACAGGAACAAGTGGAGCCCATGACTCAAATGCTTCTAGGGCTCTCATTGTCTCTCCTCTCCGTTTTCCTTTGCATTTTGGCTTCATTTGCTTGGTTTGCAGGCCAACTCCCAGGGAACTCCTGAGCACACACCTTCAGGGTACCATCAACATAGTTGGGCCAATTTTTCCCATTTAGTACGAGAAGTCTCAGGGAAGGACTCTGATTGGTCCAGTTTGTGTCACATGTTTTCCTGGTATGGTTTAGTCAACTGATGCCTGCGGGTGAGATTTTGTAAGAACATGGAAACTTGTTTGGAAAATACTCTACTGAAATCCAGGAGTCCAAGTCACAGGAGACTACTCCTGAGAAAGGAAGATAGGACTGGGAGGACAAGACAGCAATTTGGTCACTTAAGTAAAAAGTCGTTATGGTACCATTCTAGAAAACTCTTCACAGGCACTTTTGTGTTAATGGAAACCAACAAACGAAATATCCTCTTACAGGGTCAGAGGGTTGTCAGAAATTTAGAAAAAGTGAGAATTTCGGGTCCTGTATACTTTGGGTACTATTTTGTTCTGACCCCAAGAATCTTAGTTTGGGGATCTGGAGTGGATCTCTTTAATTCTCTGTTGGAATGGAGCCAGCATTCTCGATGTTTTCAGGAACTGAATTCCTTTTCTGATCTACTCTCTTTCCCATTGCAGATTGTGCTTGAGAACAGTAGCCGAGAAGACAAGCATGAATGTCCCTTTGGCCGAAGCAGTATAGAGCTGACCAAGATGCTGTGTGAGATCTTGAAAGTGGGCGAGTTGCGTAAGTACGCTTGTTTCCCACACGAGTGCGAAGCATGGCAGAGACCCAGCTTCCAGGGCTGGGCCCCTGACTGCACGAGGAAGTCCCAGGGGGCTGAGTTCTCGTGATCATCTCTGTGGATTGATTATTCATTGGCTGAGGTTCACAGTATACGTATTTTTGCATGTCTGTTCTGGAAATAAATGTTATCAAAACCTACGGGAATAGAGAAATGTGCAGGTATTATGGCTGAGTTGCAAATATTATGAAAATGAGTACATATAAAAACAGCCTTGCCTCTATTTAGGAAAAAGAGTCATGGGTTTCTTTTTCTAAAATTCCAGTTTATAACCTACCAGTGGATCACTTTCTTTCTTTCAAAGTGATTTTTCTTTATGAAGAAAAATTGAATACTTTAATGAAATTCTCTTGCTCCCAGTGTTTCTGTTGTTTGGAACACTTTCTCTAAGAAAGAAGAAATTATTAAAGAAAATGAGTAGCTGAAAATGAAAAATGTGGTTAGTGATATGCTTATTGCTCTTGTTTTCTACTTATATCACACAATTTATGAAAGGATATCCAGGAAAAGAAAGGATTGTAATTTTCTTGCCTTTTGCTCACTGGCGTAATTTGGCTTTAACCTGTGAAGGTGGATGTGATTTAACCTGCCCCCATTATCATTGTCGACGTTGAGTCTCCTTAAACCAGCTGGCTTCCACACATATTTATATGTGTGCCAGTAGGCACACATATAAATCTTCCCTCTTCGGCTTAATAATATGAGAACCAGAGAAGACTGTTTATGCCAGAAAAATGTTGGGGTGTTTTGTATTATTGTGAAAGCATAAATATTCAGTTCCTTGCTTGGGAGCTTAAAATAATGATCTGAAATGATTAATGGGAAGGAATGCAATGATTAAATTGGAAAGGGGGTTATGTGTTACTTACAGTATGTGGCTGACTACAGGTACTGCTGAGATAAACTGGAAAATTTAATACTTAGTAAGGAAAAAAAAACTAAGAATTTGAGCCTGTCTGACCAAGCAGGAGACTTTATCATCTTCTAGTGCAGGGAGCAGAGAGTAGCTATGAAAGTTCGTTACTTCTGAGCCCCAATCTGGGCATTTTTGCATTGAACAGTGGCAAACTAACCTGAGAAATTTCTGCATTAACCTACTCTGGTTTACAGCTCACCAAATGTTAAGATTTCAGTTTATGTGGATCCTTGAGTTATTCTTCCTACTTCCTAATTAGGCTAACTTGTTGAAATTTCAATCTGCAGCTTCGCTTATTGTTTATTCAGCTTAAGGGTGTAAATCCTAAATCAAACAAATCCTACTGAACTTCTCCATCTGATAACTGTGACTATTTCATGTTTCTCTCAGTTTCTTGGGAGAAACTGTTAAAAGCCTCTGGCTCTGGCTGAAAGGCACGTCAAGACCATCCAAGAGTTTTTGTCAGCTGGAGAGCAGTGGTGTTCCGCTAGGCTGGTGTTTCTGTGCCCGAGTTTTGCCCTCACACTGCCCTTCCCTCGTCCCCTCTGCTTCCATCCTCCCAACGACGTGCTCTGGCTGTTTGCTGTCTTCTTGATGGCAGCAGAAAACGCACTCTCTGGTGCTATGACATGCCCCTCCCAGCTCTCTGCTCTTCTCCCTTGTTGCCCAGTGGTCGTGTGTGTATCCTGCTAAAAGGTAACACGGAGAAGTGACATGGTGACATGGCGTGGGAGAAGGAGAGTGGGAGAAAGGGGAACTGGGTCTAGCTCTGCTGGGTCTGCCTTTCGTGTCCCTGGGTAAACGACTCGCAAACTGCATTGCGCTCTTCCACCCCCACGTTCTTCCCAGAGTAGAATATCCAGAAATGGAGTGGTAGTGTTTGGGGTGATGACTTGAGTAGCTGTGTTCATTCCGTGACTGAATTGCAGTGAGAGCAGTGCGAGGCGCCCCTTAGGGACGGTTTATGTTCAGCCTGTGGGGACTAACTTGGAGAGATGGCCCAGTTCCAGGGTGGGTGCAGGCAGGGTAAACGTGGACCTGAAGTGGCCTGGCCTCCGGTCAGTGGGACCCCATGTGGTGGGCAGTAGGGAAGCGGGGCGGTGGGTGTCTGCTCCTCGCTTGGGAATGGGGTGAGTACAGACCAGGGGCCGAGGCATGACTTCTGGCAGGTGTAGCGCAGCCTCCTAGCCTTTTGAGGACCTGGTAGTTAGTCTAGGGACCAGGACAGAGGCCCACACCTGTGGGCTGAAATAACAGAGTAGAGCTGAAGGAAAATATTAATGCCCAGTGGGTCCCCTGGAGGTGCCGCAGATGCTCTTCTTGCACTGTAGACTACTCCATCTCCCTCCTTCTGTTGGGGAGGAGAGAAGAGTCGCAGCATTCTACCATAGCTCGCTCAGGCCTGGTCACACCTGGTTTCTGCAGCCAGACTGGGCTTGGACAGCTGGGGCCTGGCATTGTCAGGGCAGTTTCCCTTCATCTGAGATGACAAATGCATTTATTCATTTGTTCAATAACAATCTACAGAGTATTTACAACATGCCAGCATCTGTGAGGGACACTGCAGGTACAAAGGTGAACCAGATATGGCCCTGTCCCCAGGGCTTCAGAGAGCTTCTTATATTTCAGAAACCAGAAGAAACAGCTGGGACTGATACTTTTTCCTATGAGTTATGTCATTATATTCTTTAATATTAATATATGCCCATCATCTGTTCTGCAGCATAATTTTCCCAAATTCTCGGTAGATTTGATTTTAACCTGTTGTTCACCATCATCTGCAATTCAGGACATTTTTCAAGGCTTACAAAACTTTCACGTTTCTGAAGCCTACATGCCTAAATGAGTTGTTTTCTGCTCATAAAATATTAAAGGATTGCTGTATTCTGATTGAATGCTAGGCGTCAAATGATAAAACACCCTGTGGAAAGAGGAAAATTGCTTTTTAATGGATTGTCTTTTGCCCATTGCCATATTAAATAAGTTACTAATATGCAAAACAAATCTGAACGCATCCTTATGTTGAAGGAGATATCTGTTTTTCTTCTGAGGAAAATCAGTTTCACACACAAATCCATCTTCCCTTGGTTTGTGTATATCTGTGTTTCTGCATTCCTAAGTTCGTCATTCTAAGCACTTCTCAGACTTGTGTTAATAATTGCCCTTGAAGACCGTGGTCACTCTAATTCTACAAGCAAGTGCTGAGACCGAAACAGTACCCAATTAAAAATCTAACTGGTTGAATAAAAAGGATGTTTACAAAAGTAGAAAGGTTTAATTTTCTAGAAATGGTTTCTCTTTTTTATATTTAATTTTAGGTCTCTTGAGGAAACCCATTTCTGAAATACCAATTATATCGGTGTCTAAAGCAAACATATTAATGTTCAATTAATTACTGATACCAAATATTTACGTGCAGTTGTTTTTAGCTTCCTTTAAGGAAAAAAAAAAGCACAATTTTTCTGCTTTCCAATTATTGACACTGCAAGAAGCAAATGTTACCTCTAATAGCATAGTCTTAAATAATGTCTATTTATATTCTCAGAGTACTTTATCAAGTTATTCAGTTGAAGTCTGTAATACCTCTAGGAGTTAATCAAGACCAATAGCATTTACATTTATTAATTAAGGGAAGGCTTATATCTATTGCATATTTTCTAGTGTCACTGAGCTCAAACTGGAGTTAAGGATACCCAAAGAAGGACAGCATAGAAAGAGGCAGGGAAGCAGAGTGGTTGTGTTTGGGCATCTTTGACTCACAGCTCAGCCACTAATTGGTTGCCCTGGGGATGTTTCTTACTAGTCTGAGCTTCTGGTACCATATCTATAAAATAAAGATAATATGTGCTACACACATTTGGTAGGAGGCTTAAATGAGATAATAGATGTTGTCCTAGTTGGAAAGAAGGGTAGTTTTTTTGCAAGTGATAGAACCCCACTTTGTATGACCAAACTGCTGGTTCAGTGAGGTGGAGAAGGTTCTCTGCCTTAAGTGGCAGCTGGAGCCAGTACCTGGGGCAATGCCCCTTGTTTTTTCACTCTCTACATATTTGGTAAAAGTATGATTTTTAACCTGCTTTCTCCATGAGGCTCTTTTGTGAAGAGAGCACATGTTTTCTCTTAGTTTCAATTTTAAAAATCTCAAAGAAGAATACTTGTGGACCTGGCTGTAATCACATCTGCTCATAACATGGGCAGTATAATTGGCAGCCCCAGTTAGAAGAACAAGAGTGACAAAGAGAGAGGAGCAAGTCTTCAAAAAAAGAGGCATATTTGGGTGCATGGGGTCAGTGAGGGTGGAGGAGGGGGGAAGGCCTTGCAGAAGAAGGGAGGCACAGCACAGACAAATCCAGAGATGCCCATTACATGTGTGAAGTCCGTAAGGAGATGTCTCCCTCCTAACTGGAGAGAAAAAAATGGTCATTATTGTTTTTGTTATTAAAGCCCTTGTTCCAAAAGAAATAATAAATTATTGATGAACACAAGGAAAACTTGATCTCTGGTACCATTAAGTTAATTACTTATCTTTTGAATATGTAGCACCTTACCCAATTATATTTTAATGTCAGGTAAAACTAGGATATTTCTTTTTCTCGCTCATTAACTAATTCATTTAATAACCAGAAGGCTCCTTCTCTACGAGTCAGGATCTTACTAATCACTGATGACTTGGATTTAGAACACATTCTCCATCCTCAAGCAGCTCACATGCTAATTTATGTTATGCATAACATAAATAAATGATTATAACACACTTCGTCATTGGTAACGGTATGTTTAAGTCATGTTGATGTCTCTAAGAATCAGTGTTTGGTTCTTTCTGTTTGTGAAGAGCCAGGAAAGGCTGGAAAGGAGAGTCTTGGAAGGTGTGATAGAGAAGAAGTGATACTTGCAGAGTAGAATAACCAGGCAGGCATGGCTGTGTGGATGGTCAGTAGCAGTTGTCAAAAATACCACGCAGTGAGAAGCTATAGGTGAAAAGACCTGGAAGTTCAGAGAATTTTAGTTCTGTGCAGCTAAAGCAGA